GAGGGCAGGTTAAATGGCCCTTTAGTCTTAGGTCTAATTTTGGCTCACCAGTTCTATAAGTGCTACTTAGGAATGCTAGGTTAACAGAAGTCAAATAATCTCTGTCATGTCTATCATTCTGAAAAATAAATCTAGAAAATCAAAGTCATTCATCTCTTTTAACTGCCTTCCAAAGGAAAAAATTTCTTAAAGAATTTTTAATGGAAAAAGAAAGTCAACAAATAAATCCAGAGGCCAAATAAAGCTTTTCTAAATAAGAAATAGAAAAATGAGTTAAAATATTAGAACAGAGAAAACAGAATGGCTAGGTGCATCTCTTTTTTAAATCCTAGTAATGTCCCTGAAGTACAGAGTGCCTCCGAGTAGGCACCCAACATCTTTCTTGACCTTCTCTATTTAAACCTCATAGAAACATGGGAAATAACCTGGGGAAGGAACTGAAGGGCAGAGAAGTCACTAGGTATCTTGCCTTGGATCAAAACAATAAATGAACAGAATAGAAAGTTTTAGAGCAGTTCTTATATGTAGCATCTAATGGAAATATTCAGAAACCTAAAAGGCAATTTAGATTCTGGTTGATAATATTGTATCGATCAAGAACACCATATTTAATTCACTATATTAACAAAACCATAGTTTGTTATTCAATAAAACTTTAAGTTGTATTCCTCATAATTTATTAACCTTAATCAAATACAAAAAGCCAAAGGCAGGAATAGAAGCAAATTTACTAAATGTAGGTCACTCTTGAGAATATGCAAAGAGAAAGAGCTGGACTATTTCCTTTAGATTCACAGGTGATTTAGTTTTTGTGATCTCATCAGGAATTAGAATGAGAAATTCACCAAGCAATTCTTTCCCATTATTTATTCAACTAGAAAAAAAATCCAGCAATCTACAGATACCGGAAGGTCTGTATGAGTTGGAGGTACATATCAAGGTAGGAAACCACCCTAACTGTGATGGTCATGGTCTGTGTCAATTTGTATAGGCTGTAGTCACCAGTTACAGCATCAAACATCAATCTAGTTTTGCTGTGGAGGTAATTTGTAAGTCTGACTAAAATCCATGATCAAGTGACTTTAAGTTTAAGATATTATTCTAGATGAATGGGGTGGACCTGATTCAGTAACTTAAAGACTTTAGGAGCAGAAGTGCCTACCCTAACGAAAAAATCTCACCTGGGGACAACAGCTTGCATGCCTGCAAAAAACTGCAGCCTACCCTTCCAGATGGGCTATTGTATTCAGAAGTGACGACCCAGCATCCACAATACTCTAAGCCAATTCATATACACAATTGGTTCTCCATGTCTGTGTATTCTGCATCTGAGGATTCAAACAACCACAGATAAAAAATAGTTTAAAAAATGTGTCTTTACTAAACACATATTGACATTTCTCTTGTCATTATTCCTCCCCAAATACAGTGTTACAACTACTTACACAGATGTCTTTTAGAGTATATATGAGGATGTATATAGGTAATATGCAAATACTACAATATTTTATATTAGAGACTTGTGCATCCATAAATTTTGGTATTCATTGGGGGTGGGGGACTGGAGCCAATCCCATGCAGATACCAAGGAACAACTATATGTAAATGCCTATGGACAAGCATGTGTGTATGTATATGTATATGTATATATATATGTTTTATATAAATAATATATACATAAATATGTATGTATATAGATATATAGGACCCTCCTGGTTCTGCTTCATTACTTGAATTCTGTGTACTAATTAGAGAATTAAAAATAATTGTTAACTAAGTAAAAAGTTATTAGCTAGGTAACTGACAGAGCAAAACAGAACTCAGAGCTATCACAGAGTTAAAAATTAAGTTTTAATAATTATTAAAATTAGAAATTAAGTTGTAATAATTGTTAAAACTGAAGAGAGATCCCAAGGGCCTAATAACAGCTTTACTAGAGCTCTCTAGTAAAACTAGAGGACTAGTTGACTGATTTCAGTGTTTCTGAGTATACACTGTGAAAATAACTCACAGAAAATGAAAAAACTGAATTGCCTTTAGTTGCTGCTGACTGGAGTGAAGAAGCAAGGACAGATGATGCTCATGGGAAGGACAGGCAGACAAGTAGGAAGTTCGAAGGAGGGATAGCTACACTGTCTCCTACACGCTTCCATTTTCCTTTTAGTGCTCCCAATATTGGAACCTAAAAAGAGAATGCATATGGGAAAAATAAAGTGCAGAATCCCTGTCTCAACAAAGCAAGGTGGCTTGAGTACAGAGGGCCTGGTTTCCCACTGAAAGACAATAGCTTAATTATGGGATCAGAGTTCTGTATTTTTCAGAACAAATACTTTTGGCAAAATAGCTTTCCAAAGTGAAACAAACCAACAGAAAGCACACAATTGGATATTTCTGTAGCTTACCATTTCTTGAGTTTCCTATTTTACTAGAAAGAATGAAATTTCCTACTTTTTAAAAAAAGTAGTCAGGGTGCGGGGGTTGTGGCTCAGCTGTAGAGTGCTCGCCTAGCACATGAGAGGCCCTGTGTTTGATCCTCAGCACCACCTAAAAATAAATAAAATAAAGGTATTGCGTCCAACTACAACTAAAAAATAAATTTTAAAAAATAAATAGGCACTTAAACCCTCTTCAATTCACTTCACACTCAAGACCTTGTAGATGAATTTTCATTGTGATCCTTAAATATCAACAATAATCTCCCTAATTGCCAAAATATTTTTTATAATACTTAATGAAGCCAATTATATTCTTTGAATATGGGTCGGAACTGAAGACAGAATAGGATTCAGTACAGTCTACTTAAGAGTTAGTATTCTCCCTGTTTAGGGAAATGTATTGGTGGGAATAGAAATTAACACAATTTAAAGAGCTAGATATTATAAAGTAATAAATGATAAAATTTGGACACCAACTCAGCATGAGGAGAAGAATAAAAGGGAAGTTAGGATCACAGAAAATGTTGGTTTTATGGTTGTTAATTTTGTTGCTTGGTTTTAAACAAAACTTGAGAAAGACAACAACAAATTTGGCAACAGGTCACACCATTTGGTTCTCAGGTGTTGATTGCGCAAATGTGTGTCTTCTGAACTCACCTTAGGGAACACCCAGAAGTTTCTTGGAAATGGCATGTGTGGGGCTGGGGTTGTGTCTCAGTGGGAGAACACTCGCCTATCATGTGTCAGGCCCTGGGTTCCATCCTCAGCACCACATATAAATAAATAACATAAACATTTTTAAAAACTCATTAAAAAAAGAAAATAGGATGTACTATTTATAATTCTATGACTTTTCACAAGCTAAACCTTTTTCCTGGAATGCTTTTATTTATTTACCTTTCCATGAATGACTTATTTAAACTTTCAGTCTCAATTCAGTCTAGCATTAATTTAATATATAGGCATACTTCAGAGCTATTGTGGGTTGCTCCAGACCACTACAATGAAGCATATAATGCAATGAATTAGCACACACAATTCTCTGGTTTCCCAGTACACATTGAAATTTCACTTCACAGTGCATATAAAAGTTATGAGCTTGTTATGTGAGTAATAGCATTATGTCTGAAAACCAGTACATGCACTTTAATTTAAAAATTATTGGTAAAAAGGCTAATCATCATCCCAGCTGTTCGGAAAGTGGTGACAATCAACTTCTTGATGCAGGGCTGCTGTAAACCTTCATCTGTAAAATAAAATAAAATATCTCAAAAAATGCAGTAAAGCAAAGTGCAATAAAATGAAATCTGCTTGTATAAAGGAATGACAGATAAGCAAGGTCACCTCCAGCGTGGAATAGATGTCATAAACACACTTGGTCTACAGTTTGAAAGTTCCAAACTTCTGGCCTGATAGAAAGTAAGAAACATATGCCATTATAACATAGATTGGAATAAACCACCTAATAAACCAATGAATGGTATGATCCCCATAAAAGGAAAACCACAAACTGAAAGACGTACTTTTTAGGAATGTTTAGGTTGCAAGAAACAAAATACATGACTTAAACTAGCTCAAATGACACAGGCAACACTTTTACTAACAAATGTAAAATCCGAAAAAGAATAAGTTTCTGGTCAGTCATGATCCAGTGGTTCAACAATGTCACTCAGAATCTAGTTTCTCTTCATTTCTCCTGTGCTTTATGCTTAAACCTAAATTTACATTCTTTTCAGTTATAAGAAAGCAGTAGCAACTTTAGAAGGATTATGTCTATGTTGCCCCTAATTTCCAAGAGAAAGAGACTATCTCCACTGCAGGATATTGAAGCTGCTTTTCTGAGAAACCTCTAAAAAAATATTTGCTACCATCTCTAGTCACCTGCCTATTCTTCAACCAATCTCCATGGCACAAAGTATCAAATGTGCTTTTGGCTTAAGTTAATCAAGAGACACTATTGAAAGAGGGATGTAGACTACATGAGGAAGGGGTTGAGAAAAAGAATGAAACAACCTAATGGCTAGGGAGGCTAAGGCAGGAGGATCACAAATTCAAAGCCAGCCCCTACAATTAGTAAGGCCTTAGGCAACTTGGCAAAAAAATTGTCTCAAAAATTAAAACAAGGGGCTAGGGATATAGTTCAGTGGCTAAGGTCCCTTGGTTCAATCCCTGGCCCCAATTTAAACAAACAAACAAACAAAAAAAAAAAAACAAGAACTAACTTAGTAAAATTAAGAGTAAAATGCCACAATATGAAGTTTATTGTTAACTTCGAGGCTGGCATGGGTCCTTTAAAAAGCAGATTGTGAGAATATTTGATCTGAATAGAAGATAATAAAATTATTCTCAGATACATTGATTTTAAGATTATGATACAACAGCATCTAAACAGGAAATTAGTACGGGGAATTGAAGCCCAGGAAAATAAGTGAGGTCGAAGACACACTTGTGACAGTTTTGAAGCTGAAGTCAATATAGCTGTCACCATGTAGAAACTATCAAAACAACAGGTTCCACCACCTTCTTTCAGTGTGGCTCAAGTTATAGTACCACTGTTCAGTTCCCAATCACTCAAATAAAGTGCTTTCATCTAATCAGGGCAGTATGCAGGGAAATGAAATTGCTTTGGTGAAACTGATTTTGCATTAGTGGTTTTTAATTTTTTTTCACAAAAACACAAGTTTGATGCTATAGTACTTTTAAAATATTGTAGCATCGAGTCAATGTGCCTTTCTTGTGGGATTCTTGGCTAACAGAGAAAACTATTAATAATGCCTACTTATTTTATAACACGATATAACTGTTGAGAGCCACGGCCAGGTCAAGATGGTGCCTGGCATTTTGCCAGAAGGAGCGATTCCTGCTGCCTCAGGTGCCTGCTATTTTTGAGCTCTTGCGGAGTTCCTAGAGAGTTCCATGGGTTGGTTGAGTTCTGGTTGAGCTCTCTTGGAGTTCCTAGAGAGTTCCCGAGGATGGAATTCGCTGGTTGAGTTCCAGTTGATTGCTCCCAAGGTTCCTGAAGTTCCGGTGGAGCCCATGGAGAGTTCCTGGAGAGTTCCTGGAGAGTTCCCAAGGGCAGCCAGCGGAGTGCGTTCTAAAAATAAAGTTCATTCCTGCTTCAATCTTCAAGTGGCTGGTGATTTGTGCCCATATAACTTATTACATTTTTTTAAAAAAAGTCAAATCAGGAAACAGTTAATCTTGAATGTGGAAAAATTCTAAATTTTACATCCTGGGTTGTCTTTCCCATTAATGGTTAAGGTTTACATTCTATTTAACCATCACCATGTGATGTTCTATAGTCATAAACCCTTCAACTGGATAGGCTGTGATGCAGGTAGACCACTGGCACAGGAAGAGAAGTTGGAGGAAAGATGAAAAGCAGTAGCTCTTCTTCAGTAGCATTAAATTGCAATTATTCCTGTGAAACTGGACACAACTACTACATAATAAATGGATTTGTTGTACATTATGTATTTCAGACTTGTCATTAAAAATTAATTACCATGATTTCAGAGTGTTCACTAATAAATAGTTTTGTATAAAGAAGTACTTATATCAAGACATATGGCTTAAAAGGAAAAGGGAGGGCAGTCAAGTACTGAAAACAAAATTTTGAATTATTTTCCTAAAGCATTATTCAAGTGTTATACTAAATACATAAATTTCATCAGACCCGTTCTTCCATTTTATTGTATACATATTATGATCCTACATCTTATGATAAAAAAATATATATATCAAAATTTGTGGTTCATATAAGTGTTAAAATTCATCATAATGCTTGCTGATACATATCTTCATTTGGGATACCTGTGGATCTCCACCTTACCTTTTGAAGAGTTCAGATTTGCTGCCCTGCCATTGATATTATGTACTTAAAATTCATCTGTCTCTTCGCAGCCTTGTACATTCTAGTGGTAATCTTTTTATCAGAGGCTTTTTAAAAGTTTCGTATCTCAATCCTTTGTCTCTTTCATTTTGTTCTCACTGATATAGTCATAGAGGGATAGTCATGCTTTGAATATAACCAGCAGTATATCCATTGGCATAACAATTGTATAATAAAAAGACTACAGTAAATGCAATATCAACAGAAAATTAAGCAAATCAATTCTACTAGTGTTCACCTATACCTCATGAAACAGCTGCCCAGATAAACATACTGGGATGTCTAGGATGTTGTATGAGGTTATCACAAGCCAATATTGTGAAAACTGATTGAAACTTCATAGATTTTCTGTCACTAAAAAAAAAATTCACATCATTTCACAACACATTCTGTTTTAGTCTATATTCATTTGCTTTTCCAGACACAACATAAATGTAGAAGCTAGCTTAAGCTGAATTTCTAGTCTTTTAGAGAACAAATATATCACTATTGGTCATAAATGACATAATCAAGATCACATAATATAGGAGATAGATTTTAAAAACTTCAAAAATTTATTTATAATTAAATTTAATTTACCAAAGGGAAATTTCATCAGTAAACCAACTCTCACTAAGCTAACACTCCTCTCCGCTTCTTGGTGTTTTTTATTTTGTTTATAATCACAAAAATTTCTAACCTTACATCTATCATCTTTCATCTTCTTTGAATTTTACTGACCTGTAGACTCTTGAAGTTTGAAAGCTACATAGCACAGGGATCCCTGAGCATTCCAGACAGCTCCTCCTCAGTGTGTGGTCATATACTTGTGCACACCATGTGAACTTACAGACCTGGTCAACATGGGAGAGACCCTCCCAGGAAGTAACCAAGTTGCTTCCTCCAGGCAAAGGGCATCATCCCATTTACACATAATAATCATAGAAATTAGAAACCTTTGTATGGGTTGTTATGGTCACATAACTAGTGATAGATACAGAATTTACAAATTAAAACTCTTTACCTCTTCTGACTTTCAAGTGAACTCCACTCTTTAGAAAAGCATCTGTTAGGCCAGACTCCAGCGTTGTCTGTTGCAGCATACTGGGTACAAGAAATTCAAGTGAATTTTAGGGAGATTGTAAGGATAAGGTACTTATTACTTGTGAAACATAATCCTATTACACTATTACATAAAATGATCCTTGGTTTACCCAGACCTTCAAGTGATTTTCATTCATTTACAACTTGTTATTTTGCTTGAAATAAACATGTACTGGTCTCTTTGCTTAGTTCCACATGGTAAAATGAATCCTTCAATTCTCAGCTATTTATTTAATTGAAAAATGCTTGTTCGCCTCTGGTTATAATATCACAGCCATGAGCAAAGTCATCTAAATGAATTAGGGGAAGATTACCCCCTCATATTTAAGAGTTTTGGTTTAAAACATTTTTCTAATGGTACTAGGTTTGGCAGTTCCTGGTTTTTCCAGGGCAGACAATGCAAAGAGTTAGTAAGATTCTATTTTTCTGAACAAAAAGTTAGTTTGGGAACAAAGACAGAAAAGGTGGAACTTCAAAAAGGCATTCCCTCCCTCTACCTGATAATATTGGTGTCATGAAAGAGTATTATTTAAGCCATACTATCAAGATTATTGAAACTGAAGTCTGATTATAAGATTTTGGTCTACTGATCTTATTTCATACTATTTTATTCTATACTTTAATTTTGATTTCTCTTGAAAAATATTCCAGGCATTATGAATTTGTGTTTTAGGTCTTTACGTGGTTATTGTTGTATGCTATTCGCCATTATGCCTCAAATTTAAACAGATCTCAATAGATATCTTTTCAATTCCCAGTAAAACCTATCTGTCCAGACTTTACTTTGGTTATAGATATCTGGGGGAAAAAATAAACCTCCTCAAAAAAAAAAAATCAAGCCTAAACAGTAAGTTCTTTCATTCAGATTTTCACCTTTACCTACTGAAGTGATATATGTTGTCCATATCTTTTATTTAAACTATAGCAGGGAAAATTTCAACAAACAAAGATTACAACATCCAACCTGTTGATCACCAGGGATTTTCCCTTCAGATATTAAGTTGGTTTTGACTTTGCATCTGAAAGCTGGAAAGTGGAGAACCATGTGGATGTTGAAAGAAGTGTGTGTACAGTTGCTGCCACAGAGGCCCACACAGGCCTCCATTAGGACTGGTCAGTTTGTCTCAATGGCCAACACTATCAACATCAGATTAACATGTTACCTACTTAGAGGAGTGACAAAGTTGAAAGAACATCCCCAAAAGCTGCTATCTGTATAAACTACTGTTTCTGGGAAAAAGAAAAATTCAAGAGACATTCATAAAGTGCATAAGCCCAAATAACAAAAATCTCTCAGGTTTTACTGTTGCATCCCTGGTGGTCCAAAAAGCAGGGAAGCTATAGGAAGGATCATGATTTCCAAAAGTGAGAAAACTGGGGGTCCCACCTGTGCTCACTTGGGGAGTGAATATTATAATGGCTGTAAGTCATTTTAAGAGTCAGTTTTAATCATCTAATCCCTGCTTTCCATAATTCCTTGTAACAGACAAACCCCGACTCTAACCTCAGGCCTCCCCATTCTTGGGAATCTTAGAGGAGCAAGTCATGCAAGGGAAACTTCTATTGTCCCTGTCCACTGGATGTGGAACTGACTCATATTCATCAATATCAAATTCTATGGGTCTCAGCACAAGTTTTGGGCTCCTAAATATTCCTAAGTTTACATGGATGCATCCTAATCAGAGCAAAGATCTGGGCCACATGGGGACTGCCCAGGTAGTGTTCCTAACCTCTCATTTGGTAGGGGATCTGTCTAGGCTATTGCCTTGAGTTCTACTATGTAGATTGCCCAGCCACCTCTCATGCTGGTCTGGCTCTTTGGGAAAATGAAAGTCCTCTGCTTCCAACTAGTTTGACTTGTCCTCCTGTGTCCTGCCCTAATTCTGCATGACCAGGGAAAGGTCTGTTTTATTCAGCTTTTTCACTGACTAAAAGTACCTGACAAGACAATTTAAGTGGAGGAAACTTTTTTTGGGGGGCTCACCATTTCAGAGGTTTTAGTCCATAGACAGCAGGCTCCATTCTTCCAGGCTCACAATCAGGGTTAACATCATGGTGGAAGAGTCGGGTGGAGGGAAGTGGATCACACGATGATCAGGAAGCGGAGAGAGACTCCATTGGGCCAGATTTAAAATATATACCCCAAAGACATGCCCCCAACACCCACCCCCGCTAGCTACACCCTACCTACTTTCACTAACCACTCAGTTAATACTATCTGGGAATTAACTCACTTATTGATTTAAGACTCTCAGAACCCAATAATTTATCCTCTAAACCTTCTTGCATAGACTAACACATGAGCTTTTGGCGGACACCACACATCCAAAACAAAAGGGAAGAAGCAAAGCATCTTCCCAAGGAAAATCCCCAGTGCACCATGTCCATAAGCTATGCCCCACCTGACTATAGTTACCACCCAGTTAGTCCATCAAACAGGATGGACTAATTAGGTTACAGCTCTTTTAATCTAACTATTTCACCTCAAATATGAATGCATTAACGAAGGATCTTTTCAGGGATGTCTCACACCATAACGGTATGTCTAACTAAATGTCCTATTTCCAATTTCTATGATTACTTGGAGTGAAACATAACTAGCCAAGTAGAGGAAGCACTATACTGCCCTGCTCCTTCTAAAGGCACACACATGAGATAATAGAGAAAACTGGAAACTCAGGGAGAATTTTTTTAGTCATTTTTTAAACTGCTCTTTTTCTCTTGAAAATTTAAAATCAATTTCACTGAAAGAGCTCTCAAGTTTTGCCAATTTTCCAATCACTTCCTTCTTAATGAATACATCCATCATTGAATCTCATTTTGTACCCAGCTGTCAATTCTCTCTCATTTCCTTCAATCTGGAGCAGTATCTTTCTCTCCTTGACCTTCCTGATATTAACATTTCCAGAGTTAAGGGACATTCTTTTTGTAGAATGATTCTCACTGTGGTTTTGTTTGATATTTCTTCCTGACGAGAACCTCATTATGCAATCTGAATGAAATTATCACAGAAGAGAGCTGCTATTCTCCTCACTGCCTCCTATCACATAGTACATGAGCAAATTGCTCTCAGAATTGATAACATTACTTTCGACCACTTGACAAAAATGGTTTCTGCCAAAGTTGCTCTTTTTAATGCTTTACTTTGGAATTAATCATTTGATTGTGTGGAGAAAATTGAGGACCATTGAAATCTCCCATTCCTCATCCCACATTCTCATATTAGATTCAGCACTTACTTAATTATTATTGGTATGATGGATAAGGAGATGTGATTTTTCAATTGCTTCAATTCTTCTATCATTTTTATTATACATTCAAATATAAAATTCTTTCTATTTCTTTTTGGCTATTCCTATTAGTCATGGTTTATTTTAATGTGAATATATCCACATGAGTACTTCTTTGGATGCACAAAATTTCCCATATGTGGACAGTAGGAACCCATCAGGATTTTGACATTCTTATCTTATATTAGCTCCTTCCTTTATGGCACACAAACATGCTATAACTATTCTTTCCTTTTTTTTTTTCTTTCTTTTCTTAGCTCTAGATTCGCCATTCCTCTATGAAGGTTTGGATGTTTGTAGTGAGAGTGATGTTTAGAAATCAAAGACTGGATGCTAGGGTCTTTTCACTATGCTGGGGTGTTGCTATTTGCCTTGTGCCTTTTATTTACATTTTCGATTAAATGTCTTATTGCATTTCACTCCAGAGTTCATCTCCATTCAGGTCTCCCCTTCTGCCATACTTGTATTGACTTCTCTTTCAAGAGCCCAGCCTAACATCTTCAATATATTTGCTTCTGTGCTCAATCCCCTTATGTAGCCAATGTCCCAGCTTAACACACTTCCTTGGCCTCCAATGGCTACTACCATCCATGGACAGGCCATTGTAAATGGTATGGGTCAATGTCAAGAAAGGAACCAAAAAATGAGAGCAGGGAGAAAGAAGGAAGAAAGGAAGGAAGGAAAGAAGGAAGGAAAATAAACATTGAAGGAATTGTCTTCATTTGGCCATCATTTCAATTGCAGTATATCATGTATTTTGTGACCTGTCTAAAATTACTATGAGTTTGTACCTTGTAATCATTCCTTTTTTTTTAAGAGAGAGTGAGAGAGGGGGAGAGAGAGAGAGAGAGAATTTTTAATATTTATTTTTTAGTTCTCGGCGGACACAACATCTTTGTTGGTATGTGGTGCTGAGGATCGAA